AAAACCCATCATTACACACACTCAAAATCCATTTATAAACACACCCAAAAAATATACAATTGTTGATTTTGGGGTTGAGTTTGGGTGTGTTTCTATGTTTAAATAGTGTTAGGGTTTTTTTATAAATACATGTCTAGGATTGAGTTTATTTATAAATTTGTATTCTTGTAATTTATTATTGGATTAATAAAAGTTTGTTTTGTACAAAGAAAAAAGGATCAAAACTGATTTTATTCTTTCAATAACTTTCTTTGTGTGAGTTTCTTTTGGTAACTTTTATGTTTTTAATTTCAAGAGAGGGGAGTTTCTCTTATACACAACTAAGATGTCATGAAAATTCAAACATGAGACATATAATCTGCAAATCAATGCCCTTTTTCCTCTGTACAAGCAATATTCTTGTATTGTAAGTTTTAAGTTGTATGTGATGTTCTGCGTCCGTCCACCATGCGTCAGCCCAAGATGATTTTTCTTCTTTCACTTTTTAGCACTAAAACTATAAATAAATCTTATACTATTTAATTTCTATAAACATACCCAAAAAATGACAGCTGGCCCTATTGAATTTAATTTTAATTATTAAATTACTTTGATGCCTCATTGAGTATTTTGGGCTTTTTTATGAGGTTTTTGGGTTGAGTTTGTTTTAAGAAATTAATAGCACTTTGTAATTAGAAAGAAGTTAAAAGTTTTTTTGTTATGTTGTAAATGGGCTTTAGGTATGTTTCTAAAGTCTATTTCATATATGGTTTTTTTATAATTTGGGCTCTTATATTGAATATAATAGTGAATCTCCCAAAAATATATATATAGGCCCAGGCCCAGTCTACTACACAATTGAGAAATCCAAAATTGAGCCTTATGGGGAGAAAAATGGGATGAACGCTATATCACTAGTGTTTTCAAAAGAACATCTGAATCATATTGCTGGGTCAAGCCAAAGTATCTGTTTGAGCTCCAACCAAATTTGCATATAATCCATCCTCCTCGAGGAGCTCTGTGTGATTACCCATCTGCATAGGGAGCTTCACATTACACAAATCATAAATCAAGGACAACCGGACATTCGGATTGTATGCGTATATTGAATAATATACGCATCCTTTTTTAAATACAGAATTAAATAAATCAATAAAACCTGACCTCAGTGATTCGACCACCATCCATTACAATGATTCTGTCAGCAGCTTTTATGGTTGACAGCCTGCAAAACGACGCATGCTAAGGATAATGCAGAAGATATCAAGAAAAGAAAAGCGAAGAATGTGGTTGTTGTAAGAAGTTCACCTGTGTGCTATGACAATGACAGTTCTTTTTGCTTTCATGTCACTTCTTAATGCATGAATAACCCCCTGGAGATAAAGGGATATGAGAGCCAGCAGCATTAGAACTTACTTGTATATATAACAATTGAGTTGACAGATAGTTTAAATCTTGAGAGAGAGTGCTTGCCTTAACATAGTGCTCGGTTTCAGAATCTAGAGCACTGGTGGCTTCGTCAAGGATCAATATAGCTGGGTCTCTAAGAATGGCCCTGGCAACAGCGATTCGCTGCTTTTGTCCCCCGCTGAGTAAATTATCGTCAACGACGGTTTCATAGCCGTCAGGAAGAGAGGAGATGAAATCATGAGCGTAGGCCTGCTTTGCAGCGCATTCTACATCTTCTTTTTTAATATCTTTAGAGCAACCGTATTCTATGTTTGACTTTATGCTCATATGAAATATATGAGGTTCCTGTCTGAAACGTAAATTTATATTACAATTCTATTGTATGCTTCTTAAGTAAGTCTTGCAGTTTGTGTATTCTAACCTGTGGAACAAATCCAATTTTTCCTCTCAACCACCTGATATCCAATTCTCTGAGAGGGAAACCATCAATGTAAATCTGCAAAGCAAAAAGCTTCAGAACAAAATTTGATGACAGTCTAAGATGTAATAACAAAAATGGTGGAAAATACACAATGAACTTATTCTGAGCGATGGATGACAAATTTTCAGAAGAAGAAGCTTACCTGACCAGTAATTGGTTCATAAAGACGAAGCAAAAGATTCACCAATGTGCTTTTCCCACTACCACTCAGACCAACCTTGGCAAAATTTAGATGCAAGTCAGTCCTTGAAAATTTCCTGCTCTCTAAGAGGAATTATAATGTAAGCAAAGCTATCTCTTACAATTGCAACCACTTCATGTGCTTGTACGGAAACATTTATGTCATCTAGTATGGGGGTCTGCTAAAATTTTAGAGAGAAGTTTTTAAAAAGGATAATATGAGAAAACATTTGAAAGGAAAATATGCAATGGAAGAGTAAATTGGAATTATTTAGGCCAAAAAAGACATACTTTTGCCCTTGAAGGATAGCGAAAAGAAACATTCTCAAACTGAATATGTCCCATTACCCTCTGCAACTTCACACCTGCAGACAGTGAGATTCCATTTTATGATAAATACATTTGAAAAATAAATTATATGAATTCATTTGAAGATACATGTAATTCCAGATAAGTTTATCTTTCTAAGCACAAGCGTTAGTTTCTAAAGCACCTCTAAGCAGCATGCAACACATAAAGCAGGGTTAAGAGTCTTTAATCAAAAGAACCTTTTGATAAGACTTGGTCGCTGGGCAACAAGGCCATTAACTGAAGAACCTTTTCACTTGCTCCAACAGACTGCATCATTGATGATACATTGTCTGTGACCCTCCAAGTTGCGTAAATTAACCACTCACAATACAGTACATACTTAGTTAGTTGCTCAGCTGATACATGACCACTCATAATTGAAATTCCTCCCAACACCACTGCAATAATCTGTAGATGTGATTTGACAAAGTGGAGTCAAATAATAGATTTTCATTTAAATGCAATAACTTGAGACATTTTCCTTTCTCACTTCAGAAAACCAGCAACTTAAGACCCAATACCTTATGATAGTTAACTAAAAGAGAGCCAAACCTGCGTAGAACGATAAAGAGTACTGAAACTCACACACCAGAATCCATAAGCCACACTCTCTCGAATGTTTACAAAAGCAACTTTGTCTAGCCATTGCTTGAACCTAATATCACATAGGATGCATGCTTTAGGTGTCAGAATTCTCAGACTTTCTTGTGCTATGTTTATTAGAAAGACGGCAGTAAAAAGAAAATGCCTAACGGGAAATTAATAGTCACATATACACCTTCCAAATTCTTTTCTTTCAGTTCCATAAACTCTGACAGTTCTCATCAAGGAAAATGTTTCTTGCGCAGCCTACATTCAAATAGGAAAGTGATCAACCAAAGAAGATTAACATAAATTTTGGAGCATTTTGGATCTATAGTCTATCTATACTTCATTGGCACCAGCACTGAAGTCTTGGACTAACTTTGCAGCTTTCTTTTGGTACCTATATATTGTTATAAAATATAAAATAATCAAATATATCACTTCTTCATTTATTGTTATAGCAGAACTTTGCGGTATAAATAACCTCAAGCTTCAAAAAATCCAAATCAGATATATAGTAGAAAGGAGGTAAAGAAGCTTACTGTCCATAAAGAAGAAAAATCATAGATAACACACAGCAGATAAACAATGTTGATAATGCGAGAGGCCGAGATAATATCAGCAAATTGATCAGTGCACCTATCCCCTGAATATAGAAAAATTGTAACTTAGACTAGACTATTAAAAAAATCAAATGCACATTTGGGGGAGGGGAAGGGTAAGAACCACAACCTGATGAACATTGCGTAAGATCAAACTAATATCATTCGCAATAACAAGAGATAATCGTTGACAATCTGCCCCAAGTCTGCTTGTCAAATCACCAACTGCTTCTCTGTCGAAAAAGGATATATCCTACATCAAAGATGACACCAAAATAGAGTACAGAATTGAATAAAATTGGAGATCAAGCAAGTCAACATTGCTTTAAATAAATTTGTTGACAATTGGCACACCCAATTGTTGCAATTACTAAATGAAACACAAACCTGGAAAAGAAGAACTGAGTAAAGAGTTTCCCTGAGACGCTTCATCTGCATTATGATGTTTCGAGCAGCAGATGGTGTATAAAGAAATTAGATCACAATCCCGGAAGTTAAAAAAATAGATAAAACCATGCTTTCAAACAGAGAAAGCACAAATGCACAAATCTTTATTATTTTTTATTTATTAAAAAAGAACACTACAGGGATTTAACACTTGTGTAGAGCTCGTTGGATTTCAAGTTTTTTTCTTTCTTTCTTTATTATTGGGAAGGAATGAGAGAACCACTCACCAAAATAATGTTTGCAATCCCAAAACAACCACTTCGCAAGCCGCTGAAATTCAAATGAAACATAGTAAATAATCACATCATATCACAAAACAGCCAACTCTTGTACAAACAAAGAAAAGAATGTTTTCAGATTCTGCAATCAAAGTGAATATAAGGACTGACCTGCATATCCCTGAAGTGATACACAAAAAAGCTAAAATTTTTGAGTTCCTAGAGAAAACCACAGCATCACCACTCTGAGCAGCAAATATGGATTCCGCCAATATACTTGGTATAGAAATCTCAGAAAGCTGCAACATGAAAACATAAAAACATTACAATTTACACACGTAATAAAATGTGTCAAATTTAACAACGACATATGTTTACTTCTCTCAATCTCAAAGTTGCTAATTTGCTCACACAAACTATGCAGTGATGCATCTTAAACACTGACAAAACCAATATCCAAAGCAAGTTCAATTATTGCAGGCAAATAATTAAAACGCACCGCAGCAATAATCAAAGAAGTAAACGCGACAAAGATAACCCATCTTGATCCATGACTCTCCACCAAATCCCACATTCGACGAAGAGCGTGCAGTAGCGTAATGGGCTTCGCCACCGTGCAGCTTTGCTCTTCCTTATCATGCTCACTTAAACTCCACCAACTACAACAACCACCTGGAAATGCTGAACCAAAAGGCCCAACCCATTTTTCAACAGCCTCGTTTCGGATATGGAAGCGGCGGGGTGGTTTGGATGTGAGGCTGTGAATTGGGATTTGGGGTATGGATATAGTGCTGAGATTAGGAAGAGGCTTTCCGTGATGGAGATAAGAGGAGCTAGGCCTCTTCCTTGGGCTTGGCCTGAGAGAGCAAAGGTTCGACTGGTGGAAGTGGAACACGTCCATCGAAAATCAAATTTCGAAACTGGAAGTTGAAATGGAATGCTACTAGCTACTCCACTCGGAAGGCCTAGTATCAGTGATAGACAGGATTAGGATAGGAATGATGAACAACCAATTCCAAATGAGCACACTAGTATGTTCCCCTTGTTCACAAATCCAGAAACCAGCAGGAAATCTGCTTTCAGTTGTTTTACTCTTTAATTTTCATCGTTTAGGGAGTGGCTCGGCGGAACCGCATGGTGCCCCCTGCTCTGAAGTTTGTGCTTTTTTCACGGTTTCCCCATTTGAAGTTTCCTGTTAATAATTCACAATTCGAATATATAGCCATCCGGCTATACTCTTTAAATATATACGAATATTTTAATAGTATAGCCGCCCGGCTATACGTGGGTACAGCCGCGCGGCTATATAGTTAAAATAAATTGATATTAAAATGAATAGTCTGTCGGCTATACTTTTAAAATATAATAATATTTTTAGAGGATAGCCAGACGGCTATACTGTCAAATACATATTAATATTTATATAGTATAGCCGGTCGGCTATACGCTTCAAATATATTGAATTATGAATTAGCAACAGGAAACTTTTTGCGGTAAGCCCCGTCTCATCTGTGATGGCTCCGGCAGGGAAAGCACAGGCCGCGGCTAAAGAACTTGTTGATTCAATTTTAGATGCTGTTGTTTGTTCTGATATTTGGTGTGAGATTCTTTCTGATTGTTAATGTGTTCTTATTTCTAGTTTTTAGGTTTTTATTTATGTACGTAAAGCCTATAGTTTTAACGTTGAAACTAAATTCCCTAGCATAATTCTTCGGAGAGAGAACCATGCTGTTGTTGGGGAGCTTTTGGAATCAATGCCAACAGATGTAAATTGGAATCTCGATTTGGAAGCATCTCAAGTTACTGGGGGCGACAACATTGGTTTTTCCTTGACAGTATTACAGGTAATCTGTTTCAAGTTCTCGATGATTAATTCCAGATGATGTATCCTGTAATCTGTTTCAAGTTGGTTCTAAAAACTCTTTCATATCCTTTTCTTTTCATGTGTTAAACTAGAAAAGCACCCTTAAGAAAGTCTTAAACATAAAATCCAACTTGACGATTGGTGGACATCAAACACCACAAAGCAAATGATTTCGAAAAAACCCACCGTTGTAGAAGGATGGACAAGGGCATCCTTCTTCATTATCTATTGTATCTTCAGTTACAGACAACAAAGCATCTCAATCATACAAGATAAAAGTGAAAGCGATCTAAGCAATAAGGTCGCTCTATGCAATCCTTGGGGTGATGAAAAAGCACTGATTGATTGTTTGCCAAATTCACCGTTGCGTACTCCATGGTCATGCTAATAATGTCCAGCAATATAGGGAACAACATCAAGATAAATGATAAAATATATTGAGTATCCTTTAACACACATTATTTATTTATTGTTTAAGAAATACATACATTACAAGCTTGAGTTGTGTACTAAATAACCCGAGAGTATCCCATATGAACTAAAATTCTCACTATGTTACATGTTGAAATGGAGTAATTTTTCGATGTAACGGTCATAGTGCCACATGATGTTACTAATTCATTCATATTATGACACAGGTAACATCATGCGATGATGTAACTCACACATTATAATTGCACAATATCGTGTGTTTTCTTTATCATTTTTAAAATAGCAACAACAAAAAATGTCAATTTTGTTTGTATGCATATATACATTTACACAAGTTAATTGTGTGTGTGTGTGTGTTTTTTTTGGTGTTGTTAAACGAACCTTAAAATTAACTCAGAACACCTTATGACTTAAGTACATTGTAGTATTTAAATTAAAATATAACACACTATCACACAACACCAAGTCTGCAACCTGATACAAATTAAGAAGAACATGTGAAGATGCAACCAAAGAATATAGCAACTTGGGAACAAATTTGCCGCCCGAATTGGGAATTAGTAAGTTAATATTGGGCCCATGTACTCAAATTATGGAGATAAAGAGCAGTTTGCAAGCTTAGAAACCGATATGTGTGAAACCCAAGATGATTTTGAATATTGAAAGGTGTTATGCAATGAAGAATGTGATAAATCCGAAGTAGAACACACGTCAGTGGATCTGTGAGATGGCAATTTATCAGAAATGTCAGCCGAAACTGAAGCTACAGCAAGAGCCAGCAGCCGCAACCAGAGGTCGTTGAACGACCTCAGACAAGGAAGCCATATTGGAAACGCAACCCAAAATCTCTCATGCCAATATCAAGCAACCAACCCCAATACAACAATATATATTAACAAGTCGAGCAACCAAATTTGGTGAAGACCCATAAAGCAATTTGGTTGCACATCAACTTCTTTCACAATTTATGGAGAGTGAGGTCTATTTATTATAATTATATTTGTTTCACAATTCAATATATATTTTGTAGTTATTTTATATTAGGGTAAATTAGTGAGTTAATAAATAGTTTGATAGTATGATGTATTTTTACAGTTCGTTTAACATCAATTTTTTTTATCAACCGTTTTTAGTTACAACTAGTAAACATGATATGCATATGTAAGTCAGAGGAAGTTATTGCATGGAGTATGTATGTGTATGTTTAAATTACTAACACAAACTTAATTTATACATATTATTCAACTTATTTAACCCTTTTTTTTTAATACAATCGATATTTTATTTTTAACTAATCTAAATTATGGGGTAGAGGATTTAAACTCGAGTGTATAGTGAGGAACATATCTACTATAGCCAACTTGATTAAGCCTATGTTTGCTCAACTTATTTACCTTAAAAAGTAGCATGATTGGTAGTGTGGAGCAATTGCGCCCCTCATGAAAGGTCATGGGTTCGAGTCATAGCATCCATGTAGTGTGTGTGAGTTAAGTATATTATCGTCCCTCTCAATAAGAAAGTCCTGAAAAAAAGTTAGCATGATTGACATTTAACCCTATTAGAAAATAATTCTCTAAAATAATAGTACAGAAACATAATCAATGAGCCCAACGTTAAGTTAGCCCAAGTCGAACTATAGTAGATCCATTCTCTAATCTTAAAAGCCTATTTCCCGGGAAACCCGGACTCTCTCTGATACAATGGAAGCGAGAAGACATAACCCACGGCCCAAAATAAAAAAGAAAACGCAGCGTTCCAGCGTCCATTTCCTCCCCTCATCTATCCTTGCAGTTTACGACGCCGTTCAAGATAAACCCCCTTCCCTATATAATATACATTCTTCTTCCGAGAAACCCTAGCAGGCACCTCCATTTCACTCATTGGTAGCCGCTACTCAGAAACCCTAGGCGGACAAAGAGACAAAGACTCATGACGACGAGGTTCAAGAAGAATCGCAAGAAGCGTGGCCACGTCAGCGCCGGGCATGGGCGTATCGGCAAGCACCGCAAGCATCCAGGCGGTCGCGGAAACGCCGGAGGTATGCACCACCATCGGATCCTCTTCGACAAGTACCATCCGGGGTATTTTGGTAAAGTGGGTATGAGGTATTTCCACAGGCTGCGCAACAAATTCCACTGCCCCATCGTCAACCTCGACAAGCTGTGGTCACTTGTACCCCAGGATGTGAAGGACAAGGCCGCCAAAGGAAACGAGGCCCCATTGCTCGACGTCACCCAGTTCGGCTACTTCAAGGTGTTGGGTAAGGGCGTGTTGCCTAGCTCGCAGCCGTTGGTTGTGAAGGCCAAGCTGATTTCTAAGACCGCCGAGAAGAAGATCAAGGAGGCTGGTGGAGCCGTCGTGCTCACTGCTTAGGTTCTCATCCGTTTTGATTTTCTAATCATTTTAAAGCATTTCCATTATCTTATAATTGGCTACTTTTATTATTACTGAGATATGTTATTAGACTCTATGCTTATTAGATGTTTTTGTTTCCTTATGCCAACAAAAAACTGAAATGGATTTTGTGGACCGTTGCTCATTTTTATATGTCAATCAGTTGCTCAATTTGAATTTGTTCGTTTTGATTCTGTGTTTGCTTGCTGGGATTTAGTTATAAATGAAAATGGAATGATTGATAGCTTCAGAAATTGGGTACATTTTGGCAATGTGTTCAATCTGAACCTGGTCTGCTTAAGGGACTTTCTATATAGCTATTGTAGGAGCGGCTTTAACAGTTGTTGGTGTCTGATTGGCTTGTGCTTGCTGGCAAAGCGAGGACATTGTTATACTGTAGCAAACTTCTGCTATTGCTCTTAGGGTGCTTTTGGATGAGGGAGATGACTTATGGTCACAGGTGATGTTTCTTTCTGAAGAATTGGATAGGACTGAGTTTTGTTTGTTTGTTTAGGTAGCTAATAAAAGGGTTATATGGTATGAGGCAAGATTGGTTCCTTTCCCTTTGCACTCTGATGTCCTGTTAAGATTCTTTTGCTTGATCATTTATTCTCGCATCGATGTCATCTTGATCACTGCATTATGGATGTTCTGAACTGGACCCATTGAGAATGTGCTGCAAAGTTTAATTGAGCTGGTCTTTGACTGGTGACTATCGAGTGAAATACTGCCGCTCTTCTCCGGGCAGTATTTGGAAGGTTGGATTGGTTTGGTCACGAGGGAAGAGCCAAAAACACTTGTTAAGGTCGCAGCATGGGATCAAATTCAGGAGTTGTTTCGTTAACTCTTTCCATGAGTTGTGATCAATTCCTTAACGAGAAGCTGCAGAAAGCAAAACTACCCCAAATTTTGATTGCATCAGTGCATATGACTGCGGTTCGGTTTGGCAGTGGAAATGGGCATTATAACATGGGAGAGAAAGGAGAAAGAGATGAGGCCAGATGAGACAATGAGAAGGGGTATATAGAAGAAACAATTAAAACCGAATTAACTCCAACCGGCAAATTGCTATCCTGTTTTGTTTTTTATGATAGCAAACTTCAAATGCCTAATAAAAGAAGTGAAAACAGTAACAATTATCGCTTACTTGGGATTATAGGCAAAACAATCAAATGATTGTTTTTTATTGAATATTGAGTGATAACTTTTTTTGACTGTCGAAGTAAAATTCAAATAATTTTAACTCTTTGACAATTTTTCGATGAAAATGACCTTATGATTTGGATTCTTTCCTCCACTCATGCATGATACATGATACATGATTCATGATGTTTGGCAAACTTGAGTCATAAAGAAAAGT